GCCATGTATTACATTTATCACTTTTTTTCTTCCTCTACCTCCTTTTCATCCCCTCCCTCCTCCTCCTCTTTTGCAGGCTTCCTTCTATCTACTTTACAGTGTCAACATTTACTTTCATTCTTCAGAAATATGAAAGTTTCACACATACCATGGAACAATGGTTTTGCTTACAACAAAGTAAAACCTCAATCTTAAAATCTATAGCACTAGATAAGAGTCTTTAGGGTGTTTTAGATCCCTGACAAATTGCAGAATGTATTCTCAGGACTATGAAAGTAACAGCCTCTGGGTTATATTTCAGGTTCATTTCTGAGAAATAAGAAAAGGAGAAACTTTGAATTGAGTCATATTCTAGTATGACCTTACAGTATTGTACACACAATGGATATGTTAAAAGGAAACTCTTGTACAAATAATTGATGTTTATAATAGTAAAACAATAAGCAGATAAACTAAGAAAAGTGTTTCTCTGAGTTCTCTGAGTCATTCTAGGAAACAATCAACCCAATCAACCTATAAAGGGGCCCAGAGCTGTTGGAGGTTTGGAAAGCTGCATTGTGGCACCTGTAGGTTGGGTCTCATGTGGAAGTCAGCTCTTACTTTGTGGGATCTGACTCTTACTCCAGGCTGAGGGGGTCAGATGGGAATTGAAGTGTGGGATTTTCAGTGTCCTTTGGGGGAACTATGTGATATGTGTGAAAAATTCCCCTTATTTTGGCAAGCTCAAGTGTTGAGTCCAAGGAAACATTGAGTTTATTTTCCTTATTATTACACCGGAGCCCATCAGCCTAGCAAAGACTTTGTCTTTCATTGCATTGCAGGGTGAGGCTCTGCCATTATCTGGATTGCCTTCTTTCCACAGGTGTGAGATCCACATCTTGACCTAAAATTCCTTACTGTTGACTATCACGTTTCTTTAGTCTCATTTTACCTATGACAGTCACTCTCCTCCTTTTTCATTTTCATAAATGTACCTTTTTTTTTTTTTATCAGTAGTAGGGCTTGAACTCTGGGCTTGGGTGCTGTTCCTGTGCTCTTCAGCTCAAGGTGAGTGTTCTACCACTTGAGCCACAATGCCACTTCCGGTTTTCTAGTGGTTTATTGGAGATAAGAGTCTCACAGACTTTCCTGCCCTGGCTGGCTTTGAACTGCGATCCTCAGATCTCAGCCTCCTGAGTAGCTAGGATTACAGGCATGAGCCACCGGCGCCCAGCTTAAGTTTAACTATGAGGGTTCTTGTTCTCCATCCTGTGTTTGCCTCATAGTGTCATCTAATCTGTCCCACACGATTTCACCTGTAAGATCCACATTGGTAAGTCACTCCCCATCAGGAAATAGTCTTGCTGCCTCTATTACCCTCTCTAGGATTACACAAAGAAGTCTTCCAGAGGATCGCCTGTGATTCAAAGTCATCTTCAGTCAGAGTCCTTGTGTCTGAGAGGACTGGAGACCTCCTATCACCTACTGGAAGCTGGTGGCCTCCTAGCAAGATATAGTGCTGCTGTAGTTAAAGGCAGGTGGTACAGGGCCTGGAGAATGAACAGAAAAACATGTCACTGTAATTTGGCATAGATAGTACAGGAATTCCTTACGTAAGCTCTTTTTACCTTGCTAAGTAAAGAAGCAGCTTTACAAAGAGAGTATCAAATCTTTTAGGCATAAAGGTGTTCTTAGTAGTGATACCGTCACAAAAGAGCTGTATTTAGGAGGGTTTTAGAGCCCAGAATAGGAAACAGTGTATGTATTTATGCTGTATCTTCCACACAGAACCTGCCTTAGTGCAGGTGATTATGAGTCAACTGAGAATCTACCTTGGAAGGGCTGAGGTACTTATTTAATGTGTTTGTATGGTGAGCAAAGATAGTCCATGTGCTCCTTGAGGTGAGGAAATTTTTTGTTGTTGCAAGTCTTGAACTCAGGGCCAGGTCACTGTCCCCGAGCTCTTTCTCTCAAGTCTAGCACTCTACCACTTAGAGCCACAGCTCTACTTCCAGTTTTCTGGTGGTTAACTGGAGATAAGAGTCTCATGGACTTTCTTGCCCAGGCTGACTTTGAACTGTGATCCTCAGATGTCAGCCTCCTGAGTAGCTAAGATTACAGTTGTGAGACACCAGAGCCTGGTAAAGAAAATAAAATTAATGACAACTTTTCCTCAATTCTCTATTCTTCTCTCCTTATGCCCCTTCTCATTTTGTTCAATTTATTTATCCCATCTATCAAAACAGAAGTTGTCACAGTAGTTTGAAAGATGACTGAGAATAATTGTGACATGTTTACTCTAAGGTATGCTAAGGAAAATCAAGATGGAATCACTAGAGACTTTATTACATTTGAAAAATCCCAAACAGCTATGCCAATTCTTAAATTACATTATTTTTTAGACTGACAGATTCCTGACTGTGCATTACATTACCAGTTAAGCAATCTTATAGTGACCGAATCTTCCCTCTTCAGCCAATACAAGATTTGGCTGGAGGTGCTCTGGTTGTTTATCTCCTACTGTTGACCAACCCTAAGACAAGAGAAGGAACAAAGAAGAAAAGATAGCAACAGTCTGTTCTCCCAGCTCAAGTCCTTAACAAAGTAACTGAAATCCATTCTAAGTTGGTTTTCCCAATAACAAGAATTTACTGTTGGCTTGTAAAACTTTAATGTACTCCTAAGGGGTCTTGAGACTTTTCTTGGCAAAGCTGGTTCAGATGAAAGGAACTGAAATCTGATTGGCTGACTGAAATTGACACTTAAAAGGGGGAAGCACAGTGGACAAGGAGAGAGAACAAGAGAATGTTTTAATTTCCATCTATTGAGACCTGACTTTTAAAATAAGCTCCCTGGAATAACTAGAATCATTTTATGTATCACTCCATCTTAAACCTTAATTTCTTCAGGTTCTTGACATTAAAAAAATCAGAATTAGCATTAAAAAGAGTTCTACCTGAGCTTCACAACCTTCACAGTTATAATCTAGCTACACAGGTGGACTGAGATCTGAGGATCCAGTGTCAAAGCCAGTTCAGGCAAGAAAGTTCATGAGACTATTATCTTTAATTAGTCACACAAAAACCAGAAGTGGAGCTGTGGCTCAAGACGTTGGGGGTCATCTTTGAGTGAAAAAGCTAAGGGACAGCACCCAGATCCTGAGTTCAAGCCCCAGTACTAGTGCGTGTGCTTGCGTATGCATAAACACACACAAAACACTTACACGAAAAGTGGCTCTGGACTAGGGTTGTAGCTCTAAGGCAGAGTATTTTCTTAGCAGGCCAGAAGCTCTGGGCTCCCTCCCCAGAATCCCCAAACTAACACAGGTGTGACATCTTGTTCTCCCAAGATGCTCCAACAAATAAGCAGTGAGCACTCAGAACCTATTTGATGACTCAAACTTTGAGATTCCATTTTTATCCCCCACAAACATGTTTCATTAAAGTTTCTATCAGCTAAAAGAAACTTATTTCAGCTTCTCAGTATTGTTGGCCTCTGTATTCACTAAACTGCTACTACTATGGTCAAGACAATTCACACAAGTGTGTATTGAAGGTCTAGCCATAATGGCAGTTACTCAATAAATCCAGAGATTCCTGTTTCAAAAAGTTTATAACAGTAAGAAGAAAGATGGTAGACATATCACCTCTTACAGAAGATGGACATTTCCAGGTAATCTAGTCAGACTAAACAGTGAGCTGGAAATCAAGGAAGAAGCTGCAACTGAAGTTAACAAACTTCAAGTGCTGAAGCTGTTAAATCAAGGATGCATAGAAGAAAGACGAGTCAGTGGTTTTTGACCTGGATTTTGAAAGATGAGTAGGAGACTGATGTGTACTTTGGGAGTTGTCAAAGTTGGAGTCGGCCAATAAATGGTAAAAATAGGAACTATTTAGGAACTATTGCCAATGGGGGGAAGAGACATTGGAAATACAGAACTACACTCATTTCCCATACTTCAGTAGTTTCTGAATAAAATGCTACTTTTCCCCTTTAAGGATGGAAGCGATTGAGGACCTTTCAGGGGTAAAAGAATGAACAAATGCAAAGAGGAGAAAGGCAATTAGGAAAAAGTAGCTAATGTGAAGAAAGTTAACTATTCAAGGTAAACAGGTGCTTAGCCAGATTCTAGCGCAGCCAGGGGAAATTGGCAGAGGAAGAAAATGAACATTTCTTCTAGTACCTCAGTGGCGTCGTTGAGTGAATTTTAGAAAACAAAACGTTTCGTACTTATTTAGGGGAAATAAGTGCAAAATGGGAAAAGTGAGTTTGAACGAGATCGCTTGGAATCCTATGCCAAGAAACTTGTTGGCTTTAGAGCCAACTGGGAATAGGACTCTACAACTGGTTGTGCTCTCTGTAAGTAGCTCAAAGCGAGGCCTTTTCTAGGCCCCAATTGACCCGCTTGTAGTTACAAACGAGCGAAGGGCCTTCGGAGCCTGACAGCCCCGGGCCTCCGGCCTCCAGGTCCAGGCGCCCGCTTTCCTAGCTCCTGGCCTTCCCCAGGTGCTGTCAATCCCGGACAGGTAGGAGGCGGGAGAAACACGTGCGACGGGGACCGAACCAATCATCTTCGCGGCCCGGGGTCCCAGGCAGCACCACTCGGTGCCGGGCAGCGCCCGGGCCGGGCCCGCCCTGAAGTGGGCGGGGAGCGGGGCTTCCCGCTGGCTTTTCCGTCCGGGTTCCCAGCGGGTGGGAAGCCGGCCTTCGCCCCGCGGAGCCCTCGCCAGAGAAGCGCCCCTCGCGCGTCCCGGGTCTCCCGAAAGAAGGACGCCTAAATCCCGGCAGCGGCCCCTCGCGACCCCGAGGCCCGTGGGCTTCCAGAGAAGTCCCAGCTGTGAGGACCAGAGCCCAGAAAGCCAGGCCTGGAAGGCTGGCCCCGAGGGCGGCCGTGTGGCGCACGCGCATCTCCGCCGGCCACGTGACGCGGCCACGAGCACGTGACCCGCGGGCTCCGCGCTCCGCCTCTCGGCGTTCCGCGTTCGCCGGCGCTTTCTGCGGCGGGCGCAGCAGGCGGCTTCGCGCGGCGCTCCGGGAACTTGGGATTCGCCGGGAGGTGCGGCGGCGGCGACGGCAGCAGCCAGCTTCCCAGGTAGCGGCGAGTGCGGGGTCGAGCTCGCGTTGCGGGGGGGCGGGCCGCGTCGGAGCCCCGTTATTCCTGCACGCTCCCGCCTCTGTGTCTCGCCCTCCCTCCGGCTCCGGGCCCGCGCGGCTCCCGACCCGCGGCCGGCCGCTCCTGAGAAGAGGGTGGAAGAGGCGAGGGACCCTTCTCCCCCTTGTGCAGCGGGCGGCCCGCCGCGGCCTCGGCCGGCCGCAGGTGTGGCGCTGGAGCTCTCCCCGTCCTCACCCCGCCCTCCCCCGACTCTTAGCATCTCCTTTTGCCCCCCCCCCCCAGGGCAGTGGGGTCACGGCTCGAGTCCTCCCTGGTTTCCTCTCCTCCCCGCTCCCCACCCCCGGGCCAAGGGTGAGAGGCTCTGACTGGGGACCGTGAGCCAGAAGAGCGGTGTGCTGAGTAGGTAGATGACTTTGTGCTTCCTCTGGTCAGAACAGACTTGCTTGATTTAAGATGACCATCGAGGCAATCTCTGTTCCGCGCTCATAAGTGATTTTTGTGTGTGTGTGTGTGAATAATTGCTTGCAGGTGAACACTGTAAGCCAGCTGCTGCAGGACTTTGCAGCTGAGGATTCTAAACTTATAAATCAGTTTTGTCATCACGCCTTTACGGGCGGCACCGTCTTGTTTCCTATGTGCACTGGAAGGATTAAAGCCTGTGGAAGGCAGACATTGAGTTTCTGAAACTGGTGTGTGGGATGCGGGCTCATTACATAAAAAAAAATCAAAATATTAAACATAAAACACCCTCAAAGCATATAAATGGCATTAGAAAATGATTGAACCCTGACCCGAGACAAGAGTATGCTTTAAACTTTAGATAGGATATACCTTTGAAGCCGGGCGCTGGTGGCTCACGCCTGTCATCCTAGCTACTCAGGAGGCTGAGATCTGAATCGCGGTTCAAAGCCAGCCGGGGCAGGAAACTCTGGGAGACTTTTTTTTTTTGGGGGGGGTCCGGTCATGGGGCCTTGAACTCTGGGCCTGGGCACTGCCCCTCAGCTCTTCAGCTCAAGGCTAGCACTCTACCACTTGAGCCACAGTACCACTTCCGGCTTTTTTCTTTTTGCTTATGTGGTGCTGAGGAATCGAACCCAGGGCCTCAGGCATGCAAGGCAAGCGCTCTACCACTGAGCCAACTTTCCAGCCCCTCTGGGAGACTCTTATCTCCAATAAACCACTAGAAAATGAAGTGGCACTGTGACTCGAGTGGTAGAGTGCTCGCCTTGAGCTGAAGAGCTGAGGGATAGTGCCCAGGCCCAGAGTTCAGGTCCCACAACCGACAAAAAAAAAAAAAAAAATCCCTTTGAAGTGAGTACTAAGTAAATTATGCTCCCTTTGAATGGCTTTCAGGGTGGGTGTGTAACCTAGAGCCTCACCAGTGAGTTGACTTTTAATCTGTGACCACTGGTCTGTCAGTACTTCAGGATAGTTTTTTCCCCTCCTTCTAACCTCTAGTCTTCTCTTGAAGCCTATTAATCTTTTTTTTTTTTTTTTGCAAAAATTTTTTTTTTTTTTGCTGTTGTTGGTCATGGGCTTGAACTCTGGGCCTGGGTGCTTTCCCTGTGCTCTTCAGCCCAAGGCGAGGGCTCTACGGCTTGAGCCACAGCACCACTTCCGGTTTTCTAGTGGTTTATTGAAGATGTTTCCTTTTTGGGCTGGCTTTGAACCGTGATCCTCAGATCTCAGCCTCCTGAGTAGCTAGGATTACAGGCGTGAGCCATCTGCGCCCGGCTTTTGCAATTTTTTTTTTTGTTGTGATTAAGTGATTACATACTTTCACAGTATTGTGGGATAGTGATGCTTAAAGTCACAAACATTCTAACCTTCTTGGAACAAATTGTCTATCGTTGTCTATAAAGCTTATGAGTTCTATGGGCTTTGACTCTACAGTTATTTCTTCCACATGGGGTGGTAAGTACATTGCTTTCTTTTTGCATTGTGTCAGCTGTTCCCTCTTTTCCACTCATTCCCTCCCTCCCATTGCTGCCATTGAGTTAGTTGCTTTGTTCGTTTTGATCAATGTCCGGTGCAGTTGATGGGTCCCACTGTTGTAAGTTTTCCCCCGTTTTCCTCTAGTTCTGTGTCTTCCTTCTAGTTTCCCTCCGATGTGCACATATATCCCCATATATGTGATCAGCAGCGTGGGGTCATTTAGTAATGATTCGACCAGATGAGTGGAGGTTCTTTGTTTCTCCAATGTTGTTTACTTTTTCATATCACCTTACCTTTTGGATTTAACATCCACTTATCAGGGAGACCATGTGCCGTTTGTCTCTTTGCTCTTGGAAGCCTATTGATCTTGAAGAGGTTTCTTCTACAAGTGTGTGTGTGTTTGCCAGTCCTGGGGCTTGAACTCAGGGCCTGGGCACTGTCCCTGAGCTGCTTTTGCTCAAGACTAGCACTCTACCACTTGAGCCACAGCCCCACTTTTGGCTTTTTCTGTTTATGTGGTACTGAGAGTACTAGATAAGCACTCTACCGCTAAGCCACATTCCTAGCTTACAAGTGTGTTTTATATCTGTAATTTAAATCATCAACTTCTGGGGATTGCAGGAAATGGATAGAGAACCAAAGCTGCCAACTTTAAAAAATTATTCTAAAATTTTAAAGAATCCCTGTGGGTTACAGGCTGGCCATATCTTCCAAGGTTCCTTCAGTTTATCCTACTGAAGTCAGGTATAGGAAATAAGCTTTGAGCCTTTCATTAGTAGAGTCCAGATAAGGCATTATGAACTGCTTTTTTGGTTGTTTTTATTTTTGAAATATATTATGAAAAGTTGCATGCTTTGTATGTGTTTTGAGCAATGTACAACAAAATTGTGATGAATATTGATTGAGCTAAACGACTTCCTAGAGTTGATCAGTTAATTATGTATTTAACTCATGGTGTGGACTTAAAAAATACATTTAGCCTGCAGTATAGATTTTTTTTTAATATTGCAGAGGATAAAAGAAATATTAAATACAAATAAGCATAATGTGCAAGGTTTATAATTTTACTACCTAAAAAAAACAGCTGGTATTTTAAGTACTTTTTACCATACAAATTTATTGAGTTCCAGAGTTCAGATAGAGATTTCAGATTTGCAAGTGATGCCGTGATACCTAAATCTAGCTCTCTGGGGAGCCAGGGGCAAGAGGTTCTTTTGTTTGAATTTAGTTTTAGTTCATGTGGCTAGGGTAAAAAAAAATTTTTTTCTGCTAGTTGTGGGGCTTGAACTCTCAGTCTGGGCATTGTCCCTGAGCTTTTGTGCTCAAGGCTAGTGCTTTACTAGTTGAGCCACAGCTCCACTTGTTTTTTTGTGGTTAATTGAAGTCTCATGGACTTTTTTTCCCTGGGCTAGTTTTAAACCATGATCCTCATATCTCAGCCTCCTGAGTAGCAAAGATTATAGGTGTGAGCTACAAGTGCCAGACATACGTATTTTTGAATGAGATACACTGTTAAAAATGAGATTATACCCATTCATGCCTAATAATCTGTTGTAAGGTGAGAGATGGCTTCTGGAATAGGTGGAAAGCTTATAGTTTTGTAAATAGAAGTCTGTCCCTTTTCCTGTGCTTCAATCCTGAGCTCAGTTGTTACAATGGAGACATCCAGTAGCCGGGAGGTTACTGCATGCAAGTACAGGCTGGCCTGGTGACTTGTTTTGATAAATGGAAGGTGATGGAGATAATAATGTACATAGTCCTTAAGAGGCAGCTCCAGCTTTTCCCTCTTAGAAGCCAGTCAATGTATATAAAAACTTGGGTGAGGCTAGACAGAATAGTTGGACCCTCCCAGGTAATGCATGAGGCTCACTTTAGTTCTAGTCACATTTCCAGTGTCTTTGACCTCATAAATATTCCCAGCTAAATGCACTAAAATCACAGAATCAATAGAAATCACAAATTGCTTCTGGTTTTAAGCCACTGAGTTTGCAGTAGTATATTACTCAGTAATAACTGAGGTAACATGAAAAGACCAACAACCCCGAAGTGGTGGTGCATGCCTGTAATCCCAGCACTCAGGAGGATAAAGCAGGAAAATAAAAAATATATTGTGCCATACCAACCTGTGTCCCAAGATGTAAACAAAATTGTGGTCAACATAAATAGTAGTTGGCTTTAGTGATACATCTCTTCATTAAGTTTTATTTTATATCGAATAGCAGTGTACTTACTGAATTAAAGGGAAGACTGTGGCTATATTTCATATTCCTTAAGATTGTAACTGGTTAGCCCCACATTTGATGGATATACCTGTAATCGTAGCTACTTAGGAGGCTGAGATCTGAGAATTGAGGTTTGATGCCGCCTAGGGAAGAAAAGTTCAGGAAACTCTTCACTTAACCACCAGCAAATGTGAAGTTGAGCTCAAGTGGTACAGTGCTAGTCCTGAGCAAAAGAGCTCAGGGATAGTACTCATGCCCAGAGTTAAAGCTTCACAACTACCACCACCACCACCACCACGAACAACAAAGTAACTGGTTAAATTAAAAATCTTAAAAATATTTTCTATCCAGAGAGCATCATGGCTCTAGGCCAACCTGAGTAGAAAAGTCTGCACGACTGCATCTCAACTTGAAAAAATAGGGTGACTTAAACATTTTGTCTCAGCTATTATGGGAAGCTTAAAGTAGGTACATTGATGCCCAGGAAGGAAATGAGACCCCATTTATAAAATAACCAGTTCAGTAAAGGTCTAGAAGTGTGGCTTTAGCAGTAAGCCTTCCTGTAAGATGGTGAGTTCACATTTTCTACTGTAAGTGATTGTCATCAATTTTAAGTGACATCACTTTCAGTATCACTCCAATCTCTTTTTTTCCACATTCTGTTGCTACTTTCTGTCTTTTCTGCAAGCTTTGTATCTTTTGCAGCAGAAACTAGGTAATAGATAAAACACTGAAGTGGGTAACACTGGAAGAGTTCCCAGATCCAAAGACAATAGTAAGGGTTGCTGACAATATGGAGAAATTGGAAACTCGGTGGGCATG